CTTCGCAAAAAGCTAGCCTTCTTTTTTGCGCAGATAAAAGTTTATACGATCCATTTGAAAGATAATCTTTTGTGATTTTCAATAACGGTAGTATAAGCTATATAAAATCGTGATCAAACTACTTTCTAACTTTTAGAAATATTTATTTGTATCTTATTCAGTAAATTAGTATGTATACAAGATTGTTAGAATATGTCGAAGATAGAACCAATGTCTATACTAAGATTATTTAATTATTAAATTAGAGCTTGAAAGAAATAATACGAAATAATGATAATCTCGGTTAACAGAAGAATAACACATTGCGAATGGCAACAGGAAAAGAAACGCATTAGAGGAAAAATATGTTTGAAGTGTACGAATAGAAACTGCTAGAAATTAATCATTATGACCAATGTTTTTTTTTTGAAGTTTAACATTCTGCATCGCTTGTCTTAATATTATAAATATATTCAGGAAATTTGATAAGTGGAATGAAGGAGAGATAGGACTTCGAAATGAAATAGTTTCTTCAGAATAACGTTTTACAGCGTATGCTGTAACTCAAACGATAGAGTTAGTTGTAATCTATCCATTTATTTGATATGCTTTGAAAATAGACTTTTCACTCATTTTTGAGAATATAATATAGATTTGTACCAGTCTGAGTCTAATGAGTACTACACTTTGGCTCCATGGTGACTATATTGATAAGTTTTTGTAATTGAAAAAGTCCTCGGAGAGAATCAAAGCGATTTTGAAAATTGGAGAAAGAATTTTCACGATTTTCAAAGCCGAAATATAGGGTTTAATTCATCAATTTGAAACTTTTCAGCTGAAAACTTCCAGAAATAGACACGTTTCGGGGTAAAACATTAATAAAAAGGGTGGGGTGGGGTGTGGGGTTGGGTGTGGGGTGGGGTGTGAGTGTGGGTGTGGGTGGGGTGTGAGTCTCTTCTTTAGTTCTACCCACACCCACATCCACGCCCACCCACACCCACACTCACACCCACACCCACACCCACACCTACATCCACACCCACTCACCCACACCCTATATGTTTTTTATTTGTATCTTTTAATAAATGAAATTCTTGATTGATTATTGTATTTGTATAATTTTTTATTTGATTTATGTTATTCTTGTGATACTGAGAAAAAAAACAACGAATACAAATGGGTAGATTTATTGAATGTATATCTTAAGATCATTGAAATCATTTATTTGTTCGAGTTTTTCTAAATTAATCAAAAATTAATTTTTTTAATTTTTTAATTTCTCAATAAAATGATATATTTCTTTGATAAAAGAAAAAGATAATATAAGTAATTGTTTATAAAGATTATTATCTGAAAAAAGACAATTATTCGAATTTTGAAAATAATAAAGAATGAAAACGTTTAATTATATTCTATTATGTTATTTTCTCTATATGAATATAATAATTTATGTCCTACAATAATCGATTAAATATTCTTGTAAACAAAAAAGAAAATATTTACTTAATTTTACCATAAATTGTGATCGATATTGTATGATTTAATGAACATTGTTATCTTGTTCGGTATTTGATGGTTTCGATATGTACACTTATTCTCCTCATATGAACTTTTTTGAGTGATCTTGAAATTTGAAAATTTTCAGACTTTTCTTTAATAGCTTTTGGTAGTGATAGTAGAATTTATCTTGTTCTCTTTAATAAAGTATAAAAAACAAAAACAAAATAAGGATTTGTGTTTGTGTCTTCCATTTAATCAATAAATATAACTAAAACTGATAAATATCAACTCTAAACAATGGATTTCCAAATATATTCGTAATCATGCAATATGTATAACAGTTTTTTTCCTAACAATTCATGTGACTTTTTTCCATATATTTATTATAAAAGATTAATTATAAAATTTTGTTTTTCCCAATTGAAATACGTAAAAATATGTACAAGAGTAAATCAGTGAATACAGATATTCTAAATAACTTTATTTAATCATAAATAAATGATACATAACTAAATGTTATTTCTTTTAAGAATAATAATTTTAAATAACTTTCTAATTAAGTTAAATTTGAAAATAATTATTTATACTATCTCCATTCTATTAAAATATTAAACAAAAAATATAATTTATAGTTATGATTAGAAACGAATTTTACTAAAAGAAAAAAGAATATATAAATATTTATTTATTAAATCTTAAATTTTGACATCATTTAAAAAAGGAAACTACTAAATATTTTATATAATATAGTAAGACGTTATTAATTTACAGTCTTTAATCACATATTGAGAATGACTTCGATATATGATCATTGAGATAGTTAGTCAAAAGTTTAAGTACAGTGTGTCCCAAAAGTTTTGTTGTATAGATTTGCCATTTCATTCAACTTTATAGACATTTTTTTAAATTAAAGGTAAAAGTGTCGAGTTTTTGTTTATCTGTATCATCTTCCATAATAACTTGCAAAAGTGTCACTTTTGATCGAAATACAAAAACTTCGCTTTTTTTCTGAAATGCTAGGAATTGGAAAATCAACTAAGTTTTTTTCTTTGATATTTTCAAATGGATGGATAGATCGTGTCGAGTTCTACAAAAATATGTATATTGAAAGATTTTTAAACCTTTTCTTTGATGCGGAATTTATATAAAATACCTCAGGACGTCGAAATAACTAAAGAAAAAAAATGCAAAATAGTTTTCTGGATATCAAAGAAAGCAAAATTTTTTTATTTCGATCAAAAGTGACACTTTTGCAAGTTAGTATGGAAGATTGGTCAGATAAATAAAAGCCCGATATTTTTATCTTTAATTTA